CGTTCACCGATCTGGGACCCGATCGTCGTTTGGGTCACGTTTTTAGTTGATCACGGTTTATTCTGCCCGTGACACCAGCCAATCAAATTATATTTTTTGTCTCATAGTATTTATCTCATAGTGTTTATCATTATAGTGTTTATCTACACTATTATATATTATATATTGATATATATATATTTAAAAAAGAATGTATTACAAATAAAAAATGCAAATTATAAGTTATATTTTATAAAAAAAATTCATATCTAAATGACTAATATTAGGCTAAAAATTCTAATGTAGCTATAAAATTATTGTCACGGCTGAAGCTGAAGCTGGAAATTAGGGCCTTAATTTAAAAATATAAACTCTAACAAAATCCACTTATACTCTTTTATTATTAAAACTACCCCTAAACCCTAACCTAACTCTAAAAAAAAACCCCTAGCAAAAAGGCCCAAAAAATTTTTGAAAATTTCATAAAATAATTAAAATTTCCAGATAATTAAAAGAGAAAATTTATTGCATGCAATTTTTACATGTATTAAAGATGATAATTTATTTTTTTTAACCAGATTTTTTTTTTTTTAAAAAAAAAATTTATCACTAGTAAAGTGTTCTTTTTTGAATATTTTTTCTTTTCAACCACCTTTACAATTTTGGCCTAAAAAATTAACTAAATATATCGATATCGATATATATTAAATCATTAAGTCGATGCTTGTGGTCAGGATATCGGGAAAATGCTCATAAACCCATATATATTGTTAAATTCCTGGTTATTTTCTGTAAATCCTGGTACTGCAATTCCAAATACAATCAAATTCGGGTTCTAATATTGTACGCACGTACTTAGAACCGAATGTTTCCGGATTTGATTTGCATTCGGAAGTTATTAGGATTTTGCAGAAATAACTAGCATTTACCGGAAGAATAACCTGAAAGTCAGGATAATATCTAAATTTTTTGCAGGAAATTATTCATACCGACATAATTTGTTTATTAATAAGAATTACACAAGGACATTTTTGCATTCGTGAACCTATAATTACCAAAATTTCAATAACGATAATATTACCTGCATTGATGAGACTCATATAAATCGTGGCTGTAACATTCTTTGTATCGTTTGCATTTTCACGTTTCATTTTTATGAAAAGCCTGATATTTAGTAACTTTGCACTATTTTGTAAAACTACTTTCTAATGTTGCTCAAGTAAGGAAAAAACATTATATACAATTGATTATATAATAAAATAAACAGTCAAAATTCTAATTTTAAGTGCTTAGCTCCTCGTTAAATAAGATATGTACACGTTATATTCCGGAATTCCACTTGCGAGACCAAGTGTGCACTTTAAATTGGTTAGTTTTTAAACAAGTTTATTTTGAATACTACTCATTGTTGTCTTATTGTTGTGGCTTTGTCGGAGCCACTTAAATCATTCTTAACTGGTCGACATAATATCATATCATTTATTGTCGTCGTAATTATTAGTGTGTAAAATCAGCTCTACAACTCGAAAGATGGAGTTTAAAAAAAGGTCAGTCGTTGCGCACAATTTTAATATATAGATTTTAATATAGCGATAGTAAATAAATGTTGTATTTTAATAAATATTTTACACAGCTACATATACAACATATACAACATATACAATCATGCTATTTTGCATTGTAGCAAAGTCTATCTATGGAAATGCAAAAGTTGGTTATACACTAATTACAAGATTATAATGTAAATATCTATGAGAAATTCTAATATTTGTATCTATATCAAATGAATATATGAGACTATTAATAACTAGTCCTTCTAACTACTCTAAAAATTTCCCATTTTTCAAGTTTATACCACCCACTTGGCAGCACAGCAGGTTCGTAACATTGAGGTTTAATAATACAAGTTACGCTAGCTGGAATATACTCTCTATAATATCCAATCCCATCAGACCAATCCTCTTGACCTTTTTCGTATTCGAAGAACAAATCACCTGTTCCAAATTTCAATAACAGGTGACCATCCATTTCATATCTTCTTACAGCATGTCCAACGTTTTTAACTCTACTTAACTTATAATTAGTGCCATATTTATCATCACTTGAAAATAAAAAACTTTCTGAGGTAGGTGCACAGTTCATTAAAGCTCTTGAAAATTCTCTATAGTCTCGCTTGGCTTTTCTGGTTACCATAGTGGGATCATAAGTTGGTAGCCTATATTTGGACCAATCTATTGGATTATATGCACCTACGAATTGACCTGTTTCTTGAATTTTCATTATCATAAGCGATGGTCCATAATGACAATTTATATTTGGTAATGGACTATTATAAGAATTTTCAAGTTCATAGACTTTTTCGAATTTGAAAGGCATGTTAAATCCTGTATAAGATTTTCGATCAATCCATGAGGCAATTAATCCAGCGAATTTACTGCTGAGAATATTTGGTTCAAATGATTTATTGATACGTGGCGTTTTAATAAGTATTTCTTTACGAGGAATAATCGATCTAAAAGTTGAAGAAATTGTATCTAAATCTTCTTTAGTCATATTTCTATATCGAATTAGTCTTATTCCTTTTCTTATTGTTTTACCTAATGTCTTAAGTTTATTATATGAAAGACAACATGGTTCAGTCAACGTATCAAATCCTGGAGTGTTTGTCATACCCCATTGAATTAGTTTGTTAAATATATCGATTTCTGGCATTCCGATAATGCCTAATTTTAAAACATGTAAGAGTAATTCTTCTTCAATCGTTTTGAATTTGGATGACTCGAAAAATATCAAAGGGTTATCATCAATTATATCTTGACAATGTGAATATAAATCTTTGGCATTTGATACTTGATAAGAAACTGAAAGTAATCTGACCAAGTCATCGTTATTCCATTGTGTTTTTTTTTCAAATAATTGAGATTTTACATGATCGAAAAGTTCTTGTAGAAGAAGGGCATCAGAAGCAATCAATAATTCTGTTAACATAGAAATAGTATCTTGTTCACCTAACGAAATTCGTCCACTGTAAATATACCTATTTATTTATCATAATGAATTAAAATGTTTTAAAGCCGTAATTATTAACAACATTCGTAAAATTTTAATGCTTACTTGAGTATCAATTCAAATGTATCAGATGAAAATTTCATATCATACAAATTTATGAAAAATTTATCACCAACTTTTCGTGCCCATTGTTGTGACAAAGCCACTTTAAAAAATTCACTTCTACCATAGAGTATAACTGAATGTGCTTGAAAAGTTTTTTTGTCAGTCAACTCATTACCAACTTCAATTATTGTATCATAAAAGTCTCCTTTATTCAATAAGGTTGATAAATCTTGAGAAAGTGTTGTTAAAAAATTCGAAGACATTTTTTTGTGTCTATCAGAGTTGTTTCGAAGCTAGTTCCTTATTGTCAGCAAATACAGGAATTCATGCAAAATATAAATATTGGTTGTTGTGCAGATTGTGCATGTGAAATTACTAATATTTGTTATATTGAATGTAACATTAGCATTTTTATTCTGATAGCAAATATTAATATTGGGAATTGTCCAATGGTTACTAAACATGTTAATTTAATAAAATCGTGGATATTTTTTGTAAACAAATTGTGTTTACTATATTGACATTTCGCCACGAAAAAGCATGCGCCTAATACCTAGAATGTTTATAAAATCATATATTCTTCCTTTAACTCTTTTTCAGACCAATTTTTCAATTTTTCGTTTTTTCAATTTTTTTTCGATTTTTCGATTTTTCGATAATTGGAGATCAAACCCAAATATTATCGTTATTTTATATAAAGATTTTATAAAGATGTTATTCAGGTCTCTCAGGTCTCTATTAATATTGATATTTGTTACAATTATTCTTGTGAACGATGGTAATAATCACAATAACCTCGAATATCGTGAGTACTAAAATTTTTGATTAATTTTATTATTCTACGCGATAAATTTCTTAACACCACCTTTTTTAATAGTTTCTCCACCGATACTTTTTACACTTCTTTTATAAGCTAATACGAATTTTGTACATGTGGAGATTTAACTTTAGTAAGTCTAGACCGTAAATTATCCACTTGAAATCTTTTTAATACTAACGCAATACTTTTTAACACTTACTAGAAGTGTTTAATTGATTATCACCTATAATTCATGTTATAATACATTGTATAATATTGTTTAGTTGATTATCAGGTTATTTTGCAGTAAAAAATTCCAATAAATTTTAGTATTATTTACAATAATATACGTATGTACGTATTTAGCCCACTAGAAATGGACAAGTTAGTTGTATATCACGTATATTTAATTACGTAATAAGATTATGATGTATGCAAAATTAAAAAAATTGGTATACAATTAATTGTAACATGTTATTTGTCATTATGATGTATGCAAAATTAAAAAAATTGGTATACAATTAATTGTAACATGTTATTTGTCATTATAATAAATTATTATTGTCGAACATTAATATAGACAGTGTTATCACTTGGCTTGACCGGCCATTGGCCGAAAAGGGCAAGAAATTATTTGGCCAAAATGGCCAAAAATTTATATAATATGATTGGTTAATATTTTATAAATTAAAAATTTTTGCCCGAAATTTGCTATTGGGCATTTGGCCGGCCCCAAAAAAATTGGTTGGCCGCAAAAATTGACAACACTGAATATAAATAATTAATCAACGACACTCCATATTATAATTAATTTTTTATCACAACTTTTTAATCTCACTATGCTATATCTTGATTGACGACGCCCCATATTTGAAAATCGTAATAATAATCATTCGTTGTAATGAAATTTTGTATAGTATAAAATAGACAAGCCACCAAAAAATACAAATATTTGGAATGCATTTTTTTGGGGTAGAATTTATAATAAACAAGTATAAGTGGGATTTTAGGTAGCAAAAATTCTTTAAAATTCATTGAAATTATTTATATTAGGATTAGCTGTCAACACAAAGTTAAATTTGTTCAAGGAAAATTTTATTAGTGCATCAAAGGTAGTTTCTTATGCGGATTTTTGAGAAACAGATGATTTTTGACGTTTGCTTTGAACTTTTCTGATCATGTTATGTTATATCTAATCTTGAAATTTTATTTGTGGTTTAGGAAATCTGCGCCACAAACCTAGCACACATTTCAGACGTGCGTCTATGAAAGGATTGTCTATGAAGGAAGTAATTGTCCATGAAGTGAGCAGATTCACAGGCCATCGTGAGTTAAGGTGTCACCAACTAGTATATCAGATGTAATGCATATGGTCGTAAAGTAAGAATTAATGTTCATTGGAACGTGGGATTTACTGGAACTGGAAAGATCACTGGATAGAATTGGAAGCATAATAATAGCTTCCAGTGATCGAATGTCACTGGACCGTTCCAGTGAAGATTTTTTCCAGTGACTTCTGATTGGCCGATTCGAATCAACCACATGGGGTAATAAGTGGAGTAGAGATTTAAACCAGCATAAAATTTAAGCTTCGGTCACCCGCCCGTTTACAAGAACATTACTGAGTCACCAGCAGGGTTATTTCTAATGACCAGAGTAACCTGGGTAATCCGGTTGACCTAGTTGTCATGTAAGAATTGAATCTATACCGATACTATTAAAGTATTATATGAAAGCTGTTATTGATATTATTATCGTAATGAGATATGCGAACAAAAAGATGATAAATTGAATATTTTGTATTTAATAGCTTCGGAAATTCGGAAACAAAAAATTAGTCGCTAACTAGCTAATTTGATTGGCCAATAGTCACATTTATAGATTTATAGTGAGAAAATCGTTCCAGTGGGATTTCTCACTAGAACCACTGGAATTCTGGAAGAATCTGGATGTCCAGTGAGGTTTCAATCTTCTAGTGACAACACTGACTGGACCTATAAACTAGAAAATTAGGCTTACACGTAGATTCTAATTGGAATGTATATGTCTAATATGACAAACATTGACTGTAAATCGCTGCATACAAGACCCAGATCTGTTACTTTCCACCAATTTTAAACCCCTTTAATAGATCCCGGTATAGTACATTAATTGTTGCCAATAGACACATGGGAAAGTTAATAAAAAAAGGGACAATTTTGCTAAGTAAAAGTTTTTTCAACTTTTAAAATATCTCAACAACTACCAAATCAATTTAACAAATTATTTTTTTGGTTTAATTTATATAGTTATAGGAATAAATAAAAATTTTTATTGAATTTGATTTGGTAGTTGTTGAGATATTTTGTTTGAAAATACCCTGATCAGGATATTTTTTTATTACATTACGTAATATATAGGTATTTACATGCGTTTATAAAATATTTTTATTTGTTGATAATACTGTAATACTATACCAGTAGGGTTGTGGGCATGCCCTTGGTCTAAGGCATGCCCATTGGGCATGCCCTACTATGATCACATGACTGATAAGTAACCAATAAAATCGTTTCAAGCTATAATGCAAGAAACTTTAGTAATGAACATCATTATTCGGAGCATAGCAAGAAATCTTTGTATTTTGGTTAAAGGGAATGTATAATCATGTATAATATAGCTAAAGAATCAAATGTAGTTATTATTTTGAACTCTCAGATTCGAATTTTCATCAATTTGGGTTGCTTGCAAAACTGGTTATTGTTATTGTGAAATAGTATTATTATTTCTAGCCAATGATTGTAGTTGCTTTTATCATGTGACTTGGGCATGCCCTTCGACTTCATGGCATGCCTTAGGGGCATGCCCTGGAGGGAATGCCTGTGCCCCGTGCCCACAACCCTATATACCAGTAAAGTAATTTTTATAAAAATTTTAGTTCATTATTAGCTCATATTATTTCTTCATTTTTTGGGATTATATTTCACCAATTATATGTTCTGTTGCCCTAGTCTTCTGGTTAACACCCACTCTTGCTACACTTGAAATTATGTTGATATCTACGAGAGTTGATAACAAAAGAGACAATAATTTATGTAACCTAAACTTAATTTTTAATTATAATTGGTTGATATTAACGTGAGTCAAGTGTATGTATTAACAGAATTCAAATTATCAATTTTTAATCTGGAAACCTAAAGGCTTAACCACTAAGATATATATCAAATATATATCTATCTATAGATTTCTAAATATTTTAAATATACAGTGTATATAGATTTTAAATTAGGGTAAGATCTGAAATTAGAGTTGATAATAAAGAAATATATAGAAGTAAATTTTGTACAATTTTATATATTTAAATAGAGACTCGAATTTTAACATAATCCAATTTTAGCAATATTCACAGCAAATAAGGCATTTATTTATGATAATCCTGACGGAATATATCAAGTTGGAGATTGTTATTATTTAGGAATTGGTGTTAAAGTGGGTAAACATAAAGCATTTATGTATTACACTGGCAATCATAAGTAGTGCAACAAAAAAAAAATTTCACTTACATCATACTACCTCCCGCAATTCCGGGC